CGCCCTCCTCCTCCTCCTCCTCCTCCTCACCGCCGCCACCTCCTCCTCCCCCCGCCCGCGAGGAATTTCACTGCACTCCGGGCCGCGGCGCGCAGGCGCACTCCGGCCCGGCCGCCGGCCCTTCCGCGCCGCCATCTTGAGAGGGGCTGTGGGGCGGGGAGGCGGGTCGAGCGGGCGGGCGGTCGCCATGTTGAGAAGGTCCTTCCCCCCTCCTCTCTCTTTTAAAGCCCTAGCCTGCATGGAGGCAGGGAAGGAGCTACTGCCGAGGAGGACTTTCCTCAGGAGGAGCGTAACGCTCCGTCCCTCCACAGCACGGTGGCTGTGCTGCTGGCTGCCTTCCTGGCCGCCTCGGCTCGGCATCTCACTGAGGGTCTTCTCCTGAGGGACAGCTAGCTGCTCCCTGGGAGAGACACGTCTTCCCTCCGTTGCCACACTGCACAAGACTATTCTCACACACAGGGCAGTAAGTAACAAAAGCTATCTGGGCATTTTGTCCCTCCTCAAAGCCCTGCTTGCCCTTAGGTTGCAGCCATCTCCCCAACCCAGGAAAATACACGAGTTTTTGAGGAGGAGCTAAAAAGAGCAGCTAAAAAAGAACAGGCTAAAAAGAGTTAGCAGCTGCTGCGTGAAAGTTGCTCATGCAGGATTGCTGCAAAATGTAGATGATTTTTGTCTGTGGGTGTGATGGGGATGCTTGTGTGAGGGGGAGCACGCTGCTGCACTGAAGATGTGCCCAGGAAAGAAAAACAGGTATAAAACTTGACTATAAGGCAAACCCCTTGTTCTGCTTCTGAGGTAAAGGGGCTCTCCTGCATTAGTTTATCCCTGAAGGATGTAGGCTTGATTTTGGATCTCCAGCAAAAGCCTTCAGAAAAGGAGCTTTTAGAAGATGACTGCCAGTCTGAGGACAGCCACTGCTGAGAGGAAGACCTAAAAATTAGGATAGTTTATCCCAAAGAATTAAGAAAATGGCCAGGGAAGGACGGACAACAATACATGTTGTCTGTAATTCATGTGTTGACTGTGAAAAATGTACTGTGATAAACAGGTGTGTGAGACCCTAAAACAGAAGGTATGGGCTGCTCTGCTCCTCTGCCATAGGCTTTGAGTGTCCTATTGGATTGTCTGAGTTTACGTTTTAGTTCTGAAGGACATGCAGTTTGTGGCTAATTGGATGAACCATTATTACTAGTGATAGAAAGTAGGAAATTCACTGCTCTATTGCAGAAAGAAGTTACAACAAAGGGATTTATCCTGTATCGGTTTGCCAAAATGTTCAAATCCCTTAGAAAAACAGCTCTTTTTATTTTTTATACTACAAAGGGTTTATTTTGTTTGTGAACACCAAATTTGGCTTGCAATGAAGGAAAGAGAACGAGCCTATAAGAGAGATGTTTTTAGTTGGCAATGCTAAAGTCATTTCCCATGCTGGAATTTGGAAGGCCTAGTAGAGTCTGAGAGTTTCATTACTGTGCTAGGACAATTAATCAGAATACTATTCCCAGATATTCTTGCAGTTCTGATTAAATCTGTGTCCTCTTCAATGATTAAACTAGGATGATACAAGACATCCCACAGTGTATGCTGCTATTACTGAAATTCATCTCATAAATGGTGTTCTTAGCCAAAGAAAGTCTTTGTGAAAGTCTTTCTCCTTTGTAGGTTGACTCTAATTCCTAAATGTATTTTGTATTTGTATTTTGTATTGCTTCAGTCAGGTTCATTCAATCTTAAAAAACAATCTATCCATTTAAACATAGAAGGCTATCATGTGCAAGTGCATTTTGTAAACTTATTATGCTAAGAGACAGTCACCCAGATTGGAATTCAGGCGTGTTGATGGGAAGTGACACTATTGTGGATGGTATTTCTCTTTCAGGAATAAAAGGTAGGCTTTGTTCACAATGTCAGTTAAGCCAGCACTAAATTCACTCACTCAACTTTCTGTACCTGATGTCAATTCAGGCATGAGTACACATTTCTGACAGTTCTATTAATAGAGGACCTAACTACAGCATTGAAGACTGAAAGGTTATATGAAACAACTCTATTTCTATTACATTCTATTAATCAAAATCCTGAATTGTTCACCATCAGGTCACTCGCTGGCAGTCATCTTACTTAAGAAGGGAAGTTTTCTATGGTCTCCTATGGCTTGTGCATGATTTTCCTTGTAAGGAACATAGGAGGCTGTGGGTTGGGAGAGAAAGGATATGGTTTAAGCTGGCACAGATGACCTGGATTCCTTTATTCTTGCAGCAGATTCAACCCTAGTTTATAAAAGTAATATGTGTTTAATTATAGGAAGCATTGGCAACTTAAAGTACTCTAACCTTGCTCTGTCATATCACCTTGTGGGCAGCTGCAAAATGTAGAACATGGCTACTGCTCGTGAGGGCAGGTGTGTGACTGAGACATAAACTCGTTTAGTGTTTCCTTACAGCAATAAAGACTCCGTGGAATCCTGTCATCAAAATGAAGCCGTCATGCCATAGCAGAGTGGGAACTCTGTTGGCTCACAGTTCGTGTTGCCTGTCCTTAAACTCAACAGGCTATCTGAAAAGAGATAAAAGCCTTTCCCTGGCTAGATGAAGTGATCTTCTGTTCTGTTAATATCTACTTTCTGTACTCCCTATGCACAAACACCTTATCCTACTGTTTGCTGAGGCAACATGCAGTACATTTTAGGAAAAGATCTCAAGACAGGAGAGATTGTTTTCTTAAATTTGTTTTACTGTCTCTGGCATGCAGCCTTTCTGCAACCATCTCTCCCATCTCTGCATTAAATGGAAGGCCACTAAGAATTTAGATTACTTTCTCTTTCCTGAGACCATTCCTCGTATAATGACTGTTCAGCTCTTACAGCCATTTGCTGTGGTCCTCACTGCATTAATCTTTTCCCTTGGCAAGGGTATATTATCATAATTCTTCATCTTGTGGATAGAATAGGAAATCCTGGAAGTTTTTCTGTCACCTTAAAAAGGATCAAGGTTTCACATTCAGCATCTTACTTTGCTTGAATATGATGTCTTTCGTTTGACTTTCTCCCCCAATTCCTCATTCACAACGCAAATCACAGATTACACTAGTAGATAGTTTCTGTTCAGTAGAGAGTCTTCCAGCTGGATTCACACTGTTAGCAACATCTGCTCCCCGACTTCAGCTTCTTGGCAAAAACAAAAAGCTGATGGTAAGATAGACATAGCTCCCTGTAACATGTTCTGCAATGTTCATCTAATTTTATATGCTGGAGTCAGTGAAGAGACATTTTAAATGGTAGCAATGCCAGGTATCAGTTTTTCGGCTTAAAAAAAGTCCCTGTTAGGCAAACAGGGACCATTTATACATCTGTTACAATGTTTGGAAGCTTGAGTTTCTTGCAGTTTATATCTAGCAAACAAGTTGTTTTCTTAACAGTAAAGGCTAAGTATTTTTAAGGGCTTATATTCTGGATCCAAATTGTCACCAGGAAAAAGTATCAGTTTGCTGACCTGTGGTGTACCGGTCTACCCCCATACACTTGTTTTTGCTGTGCATTCGCTGATACATGAGTAGTTTGCTCTAAGGAGTCTCGCTTCGAATGAGCCTTGATTGAGCTTGCTTGTGAGTAGTAAAATCCAAATTACTTCTTCATATATTGTATGCAAAGGTAACATTTGGCTGCCACCATGGATGTGTATCATAAAGGCAAATGCTCTGAAAATTCCTTGTTAAGAGAGAATTTGGGAAAAAGGAGACAGCAATTCACTGTATTTTGTCTTCGATTCATAGCTCCCTGCTGGCTTGAATAAGAGCGTAACAAGGACTAAAAGCTGGTTTGTTTCCAGTTAGGTATGACCTATAAATAAAGTAGGGGACTAAACCTGGGCTGAACA